GTAGTGTACATCGTTCTATGACCTTGGTACTGTGTATACACAACTGCCACAGCTGTAGTATTTCTTTCACCAACATTTTTTATGTTTCCCCATTACAGTATCATTCGTTTACGTGGGATTGCCAGCTGGGTACTGTATCCTCACTCCAAGTTGTGTTGTTGTCACAAATGTTGTGTTAAAATCACAAAATGCAGGAACTTAAAAATTTGTTTCGACAACAACAACAGCAAGAAAACTTTGTCTTTTTACACTACAGTTATCATAGATTCGTATCGGACCGATCTTTTAGTTAAGCAAACTATGTCAGCCAAATCAACCACACCTTATTTTGCCTACCCTGACAGTTTTATGTGACGAAGAACACTCCTCAATTCTGCGTCCTGTGTGAGCGAAATGTGACCCTTGGCTCAACGACTGGAATATATCTGCATTGCAGTATAGTAACCATGTTGTACTTTTTGCTAATATATGTAGCTTCCAACTGATGCCCTCGTCTTTAAAAAAATTAAACAAACCAGTAATTAGGATACCAGAAGCACTTCAAGAAAATACTAGTGAACACACACCTGTTTCCAGATCCTTTTCCCGTACAATAAAAAAAGAAACCTTGTAAAAACTTTTCCTTGTGGACCTGTTTCTATGAAGAAATATTGTCCTCTTCCTTTCAAAAGCAAACCCAAAGAGGGTCAATTTTCTGGCTGTATTTTGGGTTGGGTGTATCGGCTAGAGGGGTTTAATTGGAAAGCTTATTTTGGTCCGTTTCCAAAAGGTCGCCGGAAGCAGACTTGTCACGTACGCCGGTTTGGCAGGTTCAAGACATGAGAACTTACTGACAGATATTTTGCTGATGCTGTTGATATCAGGCTTGGGAGTCGATCCTGCTTCGCTGCTGTTTCTTCTAGAAGAGACGTTTAGCTATTTTAGATTTTTTTAGCTATAGTTGCAATTTTACAACAAAAATATCAATGTTCTATCGTGTAATTCAACACCGAAAGCTGTATGTTTAGCTCGCTTTAGGTGTCTAGCTATTTAAGCTTTTTTAGCTATAGCTACACTTTCAAAATAAAAACATCAATGTTCTGTTATGTAATTCAACACCAAAAGCTGTATGTTTCACAGATTTAAACTTAATGCACATTGAACTAATCTGTTTTGTTTCATTTTAGCGTTTATTTTCAAATGACGAAACTATATTCAAGCTAAAACTTTTTAAAGTTACATATCTAGTCCTCCGTATAACGTAAACTAAGGTTTTTACATAGATCTGTCTATTTCTCTGAATAATTTTGATAATTTTTCATATCAGAATCAGATGTCCACGGAACGTTTTTACAAGTACATATTATAAAAATTTCATCTCGTAATTTTATACTTATTACTAAAATTAAGTGTTGCTTTCGAACATGTTTGACGCACCACGTATCCATTGACATGCTTTTCTGCACTTTTGTGCCACCTTATGGATACCCAAACTAGCTTTGCTACCCAAATATATGTTGACAACCTTCAAAGAGGAAGCTGAAAATGCATATTCTAACAGACTAATGGCTGGGAAAAATTTTGTTTCTTTCCTTTTTTGTTTAAATATTAAAGACTTTGTACAGTGACGTAGGATTTACAATGGCAAAACCATTCTCAGTCACCAGGGGCGCTTTAGTGGTTGTGTGCAATAGGGCATGTTTGTTTGCTGTTAATGGAAATATGCCGTATTTCGTTTGAATATAGCATCCAGAATATATCAGTTTAAGCTATTGCAGTGTTAGATATGTAGGGATACTGTTTTAGGTGTGGTGATTATGAGCCGAACCATAGTAGCAAGCCCGGTGACCCTTGAAATGTGGATGTGCCCCCAACAACAAAGACAGGAAAACATCTCATATGTTGTGTTTACCTTTTGTATTTTATCTTTTTTTGCTAAGCTTACCTTGGGTTTTTGTCTTTTTCTATGCTTACTGTATCTTAAGCGATCTAGAGGTAATGTAGAATTGCAAAGTGATGCTTAAAACAACACATTCTACGTCTCAGCTTAGCTGTGGCAATGTAGCAATGTTTTCCACCAGGCTTAAAGTATTTTGTAAATTCTTTTATTAATACATACGTCGAGTGTTACTGCAATATGTAGAAACAAGTCGTGTTATATATTTTTTCGTAGTTTAATCTTGGGTTCTTTAAATCTGTATTTAGATGTTTCAGTTCGTTTCATTTGGCCCGTGATAAACATTTCTTGAATGGTAAATACAGTACCACGCTTCACAGTTGAATTAGTCCATACTATATGGCCAGACGTTATATTTTATAGCAATCAGGTATGTTTGAGTAAACGTGTACACCGGACATGGGCAATAGTACAGATCCATAGGTAAACAGACATCTTTTCTGCACAAATAGCAGTTACAATCGTGGTTGTAAACGGGCAACATTTTCACTGGGAACCACATAAAATCCATGGGGACTATTACATCTATATTGTGCACTCTTTGTTTATACTTAAATCCTGTCTGCATTTCTGTTTTAGTTGTCAACATAGCCGTGTGTAGTATTGAATGAAACAACATGGCAAGTAGGAATTTCAGCATACGTTTCAGCGAATTTTGGAATCATTTGTATTTCTCGCATTTGTACTAAACCTTTCTCGGTACCTGAACTTTTTCGAAAGGCAATGATCCTATGTTGATACTGGCATATATTAGTACATTTTGCATCCTATCATCGTTGAAAATATTAACAGATGGCAATGTTTCGTCAAGATTACACGAAGACATATATTTGTATGTATTCAAAATTTGGTCTGGATACCACATATACAATGTACATATTTAGTTCCTTGAATACACAACATTTGCTTTCGTAGATCTCAGTGTTTTCTGCACAAAAACCTGGAACAATGTCTGTTAAAATTGTACACTTATATACATGTCATTCCTGCATCTTAGGTCTTTTTCAGTTCGCGAAGGTCTGGGTTGAAAATACATTTGGTTTGCCTACGGACAGTTGTAGTCAAAGCATGCTTCTTACTCGCTTTGTTTTAGCTGCTGTCCGCGTCCCTATGATATGGAATGTTTATGAAATACTACATGATTTAGTCGACCCAATTATGCACATATTAGAAGATGTATTTTTGCAGACGTGGACGATGTAGTATTGTCTTGAATATCCTTAACTGTAGTTGGAAGGTACGGGAAATATCCACAAAGCATGCATGGGATTGCAATAGGTATATGTCCAGCTCTATCAATGCTGTAACAACCACATAACGCGTGTCTAGAATATTACTTTCGTGTTTGCTATTTTTACCGTCTAAAGTGTCCAAATCTATACATTAACTCAAGATAAGTTTTGTTTTCTACATATGGGATACATTTGTTGAGAACGCTGTTAAAATCTAAAGCAAACGCCTTTCGCATAGAGCTTCATTTTATTTGGGTTCTTTCCACTTTGTACGATATTTTTGTTCTTCTTCATTTCTTGTAACTCCCGCTATATGTCGTATGGTGTGCTTCTTCATTTGTCAATAAGGACGTAGTAATGCTGAAGACAAAATTCTACCTTGCCCAGGAAAATATTTACCGCTATAATAGACGATAAATGTTGTCTACATGTAACTGATACAGTTTGGCCTAAAAAGGAGAAATACCTCCTGGTTAGAAACTAAATACCTGCTTCAAATCGTTGAATTCGTTACTCTGGCATTCCCGCTGAGAACATAATCTAAAATTCCTCTTGAACCACACACACACACACACAAAAGAAACGAAAAAAAAAACGACCGCAATGTTTATCCAACCAGCAAATACTTGGCATCTTCCACGTGTGTCAGGAACATGTTTAGATTTTCTCCAATTAATGTAACTATTGTTATGCATAGTTATACTATTGAGAGTAAAGTTGCAAAAGACTCAACGATTTGTTTTAAAATGACTGACCTGTGACTTGCGACTTTGAAAACATGAGCTAGAATATTTTTGCTGTCACCATATATGAAAACATATAGTGCAGAATGATCTAAAAGTGTGGTAAAACAATGGCACTGAAAGAACGATAAAATGGTAAAAATAAGCAAACGGTACCAATTTTAAATTCGTCAATTCGTCAATGTTCAGTCTACCAGAATATTTCAAATAAGTGTGCTTTCCAAGGAAATTTTCAGCATGTTGCTGGTAGTTCTGGGAAAAATATTTCTTTGCCATGCAAAAGACCTGTTTGTGCAACAATTCAATCAGGTTTTCATGAATTAATCCTTTTGTCCCAGTTTCCAGCAATGTGTTCAGGAAATGTGGTATTGAATTATGAATAAGAGCTACAACTCTGGTGAATAGTTGAGGTTGGGGGTTAAGGTACAAAGACAATAAATAACACAACCAACCTGTTGTGATTGTGATTTTTTTTACATTGACATACCTGTACAACATATAGATGTGCATTCAAATAGTACTTATGTAGGAGAAACAAATAGGAACATGGGTTTGTTTTAAATGTCAAATCTACACAGACAGCTGACCCTAGAATGTAAACGTGTTGCGTTTTTATCTAGTAATGTAAAATTCGCACCCCATCAATTCCGAGCATAGTTAACACAGGTTAGCGTTTTGACAGGTAATTGTGTGTTAAAAAGGTGTAATTTCAAACTACGTGACAAAACGATGTGATAGGAGGGGATGTGTATTCTTCTTTTCACTTTTATGAAGTATCTTCAAAGTGCTCTCCAATACATCAAACACATGTGACAACACGTAAACAAAATATGGGCAAATATATAACATATAACCCTGCCACGGAAGGTCATTCAAATCATCAGCCTGTGAGGCGAATTCCTTATTGGAAAGTTTATTAATCTCTTTTGGCAAAGTTCTTCGCTAAATGTAACTTGGGTTGAGTTATGTATTGCTTATTTTGGAGAGTCACCTCACGTTGCTTGGCCAATGGCGCCAATTGGTAGCAAGGGATCACATGACTACTACTGGCCCGAGGATTCATTTCCACAAGCCGAGATTTCCATGCCGCTCGCGAGAGGGTCTCCTTAGTCGTCGTTGTAAATACATCTGCAGCATGGAGACTGCTACAGGCATCAATGGACCGCTGTGGGCTCCGACAGGCTACTCCATCTCTAGCATGCAGGACACAAATTTCTGGTCCAGGGGAGGGGGCGAGATGGCCTACGGGGACAGGTTACCCCCACGCCGAGACTTTTTCATGAGCGGCCCGGCGACTTCCACCACCTGCACCTACAGCCAGAACGTTCGTATCGTGGAGGGGCCCCGTGCTCCTCACCACACCCCCGACAAATACTCGCAGGTGGATTTTCCACGTGATGAACCCTTCCAGCCCGTGGTGCTTCCACCGGCAAGTGGACCTCTTCATCCACCTTTCACCTATTCCCCACAGCTATGTCAACTTGACCACTTCCTGGAGTCCTGGCAGCGAAGCAGGGAGGCGACAAAACCGGCTGAAACCATCGGTAGTACACACCGTGTTTTTTTACAGTATACTTTCTTCGAAAATTTATTGATCATTTTTATCGAACTGTTACACTATTCTACCGTGTCACAATAGACCGACACGCCAATTAGAGACATTTCTGCACAGTTGATTTCGCCTTGTTACTCAACGTGAAGTCTAGTTACCACTGACGTTATAGTCTAATAACAATAAATCATGAACTTCATTTAGATAAATCTTTAAGGTATTTTGTGGCATCACAATGCAACGTCCTTCCTAACGTCGTCTATGATAGTCGTGCTTTCTGCAAACTTATTTTCTATGTCGTGTAAAACAATACAAAGTGTCTTGGGATTGTCTTCAGCAACAGTTGGTTCAGTGAATCATATTCCCTTGCTAGACATCATTGTTTATTGCAAAGCTTGCTAGTGTCCTTCTGATATTTTGTTGTTCCAACGTATGCGTATCTAGAATCGTGTTGTTCAACAGCCCAGTAGTTTGTCTCCCCAAATGGCTGATATAAAATCAGCTGGTCCTCGTTCACCCGTTTACCGTCAAGGTTAAATAACGACAAGAGACTAAGAAGCTCCTCATTGGCTTTTGAGGACTGTTGGTCATGCTGCGTTTTCAGTCTAAGGGGTTTGTCTTTGGGGAGAATTATAAGAATATACATCGCATATGCAATGAAATATCCTATGTCTTCATCGACCTTTCTAGATATGCATAATAATGACAAACCACCCAACACCCGAAGGATAAATAGTTGGACCAAGTGCTGCATCCTCTTGATATTGCAGCAGTGATGTTCTATGACAAAATGAGAAGTCACAATGCTCGGAGACAGCAACAAAAGCATGCCCTTGATTTCTATCGATGCCGCGAGCTACTTAGTATATGGTTAGCTTCTCCCCTTGGCATAGATGTCATCGTAACTTTAAAGAGCAACGTTGGCCCACCGGTTGATTCACTCCCAACTGTAGCATCACATCATATACTCGGAAACCTACACTGTGTGGTATTTCCAATGGCACCTGTTGCTATCCAAACCCACAAAATGTTGTTAAAAACTGGGCAAGTAATTGATGCAACATTGTCGTGCCACCTGTTACTACGGAGTATATTCTAATAAACCATGTTATGGGACTGCTACAACATGTAGTCTCACTAAGGGGCAGCGATAAATGCGGTCATGAGTTTGGTTTTGGCAGTAAGTGTCATCTATAAAACGTTGTGCCAATAGCTCACACTGATTCAGGGAATGTTGAGGGCATGTTTGTGGCTTGGTAGAGACACTCAGTGCCTTTCTATGGGGAGATGCATGATTTCAGAGCTAGTGGGGTGAATACTCAGTGCCTCGTGCAGTATCGCCATGAAATTTTTTATTGGTGTTCGCGTTTCTTCCTTCCCTATTCTGAGGGTCAATGGCATCAGAAATGCCCGTGTGTATCTCCATTGACAGAAATGCTTAGCGCCCGTGACCTTACGGCCACTCCATTGTATTTACCACCCATTTCAATTAATAGAGAAATACAGATATCGTGATATATCTATCATCTAAGTTCATTATATTTTCAGGAGGTCACACCTCACAAGATTTGCAAGCCTCCTGAACACTCCAGTTTTTATCCTTTCTTTGCCTGTCTGTACTCATGTATTTTGCTGTGCTTTATTTTCTCAGCCCAACAAAATGGCGGAGGGTCCTTGACGAAACCAGTTCGACCCAAGAGGCGTCCTTACTCCAAGTATCAGCTCAACGAGCTTGAAAACGAGTACGTCCAAAACCAGTACATCAGTAGGGACAAGAGGCTACAGCTCTCACAAAAGCTCAACCTCACAGAAAGACAGGTAAACCCTTTCCTCCGCGTATTTCAAACCCGTAGTGGTCTTTTTGACCTTTGGCATTCGTTCAGATAGAATTCTAATATTTCATCGTTTTATTGATTGTTTCGTAAGCTTTAGACAGAGTTTTATTTTTAAATAGACTATTTTTACTAAAAATAATCAAGAATATTGTACTGATACAAAATGGATGAGTGTGTATTAGGCTACAAACATTGACCCAAACACAAGGGCGTGACAAAATAGTTCCCCCATTGCTGTGAGTGTATCCTGTTATACGCATGTGTACCTCTTGGTGTCGCTGCTGCAACTGCTATCAGCATCTTCTAGGGCTGGGCTCCGGACTCCCGTGATGTGGCGCCCTTCCACTAACACCGATATTTTTACCAAATCCCTATAACATGGTTTGACATTTTCCTCTGCACATTTCAAAATAGGATCCTCAAGGCGACATTATTTCGACAAATAAAAGCTACATCTGCTGAAGATAGCAATTTCTCCATCCACAGTTATATATAATAATCATAGCTCCTCATGCAATTAACAGAGACTACTTGACGATCTTGGAAAACGTCAATATCATGTACAAAGATTCCTGAGTATCCCTTTGCATGATGTTGAATACACAAGCTCTCTATACACGGATTTTTCATTCTTCATCAGGTCAAGATCTGGTTCCAAAACCGCCGTATCAAGCAGAAGAAACTGGACCGACGGAACAGCGAAATGTGTACCTGATTCAACTTACCCCACCTCTTGTACAAAATTGTCACCCATAGTACAATCTATTAATTATAAGTCACGTATACCTACATTATATTATCGTTATGTATATGCAAAAACGCAACTTAATATGAGAGATATTTTGACAAAGATGTTTTTGAAAAATATGATCAACATGTTCCAGTACAGTGTAAATGTTAATGCATACTTATATCTTGCCATCTTATTGAAAGTTTACAAATGTTAATGTGAATGAACGCACTTTCAATATGCTGTTACATTTGCAACATTTTGTCCGCTACTACATATATAACCATATTTGAAAAGAAAAGCACTTATACTATAGCTGTAGTATACGCACATGTGTTTCTAGTATATTGCAAGTTACAAGTTTTTCGCACCCTATAGAAGTTAAAAATCACTTATTATGTTATATTGTTATATTTTACCTCCTTACCACTTTTTGAATCACAAATGCAACTTTTGTTTCTAACACATATCATTCAACCTATCATTTGACAATATAAAGTAAAGCTCTGTTTAGTTACTTCCGCTGAACTGTTCCATACCGGAAGACTCTGTAACGTGTCAAATGTATACCTTGTGCCAAAATTTGGCCTATCATACTTTGGATAGCCCGGAAAAACGGTGTATGTACGTGGGTATAGAGTTTAGGATAATACAGTACAGTGTAAGGATATATGAGATGTTGTAGGGAAGGGTATCTATATGGTGCAATGTGTTTACTGTACACCACAATCACTCTAAGATGGGAAAATTGTCTTCGTACGCTTTTATCGTTTGGTCAGTGAAAAGTTTATAATAAACTTCTCAACCGCTTGAAGCTTTCTAGTACTTCTTGTATTGCAAATGATAATTGAGGAAATTTTGGGGGTCTCAATCAACTAGAAAGACTTTCATGGATGTGAAAACATTTAGGCTCTGACTGCTTCCATTGTTTTTCTTCCGTGCACAACTCGCTTTATATTTATCTTACTCAATGCTACTTCTATGCCTTCACTCTAATTATCGAGCTCTCTGTACACAGTGCATGAATGACATATGGCTGAGTAAACGTATTATGATGATTCGGTCCCTTGATAGTTTGCAGCCCTATTTTCTCAACAGAAAAAAATGCCTATTTGTAGCACACTAGATTGGTAAAAGGATATGTATGCTTTCTTCAATGCTACTTCTATACCTTCACTCCAATTATTGAGCTCTCTGTACACAGTGCATGAATGACATATGGCTGAGTAAACGTATTATGATGATTCGGTCCCTTGATAGATTGCAGCCCTATTTTCTCAACAGGACACTCCCGGCAGGATACGTGGTGCGCAGCCGCTATGTCCTGAACTGACTCTCGGAGCCAGACAGGCTTGAAAATATTTCCAGATCATGTTTACGTCTGCGTGAGTAAGAGGCAATGACATTTCAAACGTCCAGTCAGCTATACCATAAATGTTTTCAAAAGCACGAAAACCTTGAACATCATGTCAACTGAGGACGGTTCTTTTGTACAGTGCAGTGAGTTTTCTATAAATAGATTTGACATCATATTTCAAAACCCGAGCAGACGCGCTGAAAAATTTTAGTCAGTCCAGCCAGCTCTATTATAAACGTTTTTAAAAGCACGCCGACGAAAACGTTGATGTCAACTGAGGACGATTATTTTGTACAGTGCAGTGAGTTTTCTATAAATAGATTTGACATCATATTTCAAAACCCGAACAGAGGCGCTGAAAAATTTTAGTCAGTCCAGCCAGCTCTATTATAAACGTTTTTAAAAGCACGCCGACGAAAACCTTGATGTCAACTGAGGACGATTCTTTTGTACAGTAAATAGATTTGAAATAATATATAATAGAAAATATCTTTCCATCATGTCTCATCATCTAAGAGAAAAAAAGTTGCCAGTCTCTGAACAGTAGGAATAGAATTCCTGCATTCCTTTGGTCACCCCGGTTGAAGGCAGACGAACACGTGTGTAAGTTGATATGCTGAGCTAGCGTTACTAAATATGCAGGCGAAACCAATTAGAACAGACACAACACTCTTCTAGTCTATCGAACATAAAACGCTCGATTTTGTTCCAGTCTTTGCGTCCAGGTAAACCGGTATGGTCTGTTAGACTGGGGACGGATGTAGATGCTAATTGTAGAGACTTAGACACATCCTAGGAGACACATGTGGCGCCAATCTACCTACCCCGGAGCACCACACACGATACGTATTTAAGCATCGGGGTGTTTTCAACTGGGCGGTCTGATAAACCCAGCCACAGCAATGTACACACGGTGTACCCACTCAACATGTCTTCATTGCAAAATTTCAAACCAATGTACTTAATGTAGTATAAAAACACTGATGAAAATAGTCTACGTACTTCATTTCCATGCATAAATGTTCATCTAGGGCAACGTTCATTATTGTAAGGGGTTGGACATTGCTGCTAATTTATGAAGCGTATTGAAGATTATTATCAGCCTATCCTACTTAGTCTTTCAACCAGCCCTGTGCAAGGACAGAAGGTTACTACAACAAGATTTTATCTCATGTTTATGACGTGTAATATCCATTGGGCGAGAAATTGGAGTGCTATCACTATTGAGTTGCAGTCTGGTAGTTTAAGCGTTTACAGAAATACTTGCCAGCAAGGTTGTGAAGGGTGCTCCATTCTAATCCTTAAGTTATGCTATGGCTGTATTTTTTGCAACTATAACTATATAAATATGAGGTATCGAACGACATGGTCGATGGGGCGAAGTTGCTGAAAGGCGCACATAAAAATTAACCTCATAATTATTTTTCGTTACGGTTGTCATAATAACTATGAATGATGAAGTAGCGAATATGGCTATTGACATCTGGAAAGTTAGTTGTTTGTTTTATAACTCGGAATGGTGTTGCAAAATCACAGAGTTAGGCATTGCAGTTTTTCTTCATGTTGTATTTATAGGATTTGCAGGTATTAATGCACTGTATATTGATATGCCACAGTATATCAACTAATGGCAACCCAATGGACAAGAACGTGCGTACGTTATAGTAATGTGGCAATTGAAAATTAAAGCTAGAACTCATTTCTTGGAAACCTTGCAATGGAGCATGCTATCATCATGGGAATAGCATGTTTGTTATCAACACTAAAACTTTGAGTTAAGTTCGCAGTATTACAGCAATTTAGTATGCACTAAATTAGCATTCATCAAACATTGTATAAAATACGTATGCCACGTTCAACACTTCCACGCTACATAGGTTTTAATATATAAGATGCTTGTGATAATAATTATAACTTCAACAGTATTAATACTATATAGCTAATAAGACCAATATCTGCTATAAATGCTATTATCCTGCTGTTTTGGACCCTGAAAATTAGGCAAATTCATCCCAAGTTGTCAAACACTTCCTTACACCAAGATCTCCCAAATTTAATTCGCAACAAAGAAGAGTATCTGAAGCCTGAACTAAGTAACAACTACAGAAACTTCAAAACTGCACTACTGTCTGTTTTGATACACAGTAGCATGGCGAGCACACAGTAAAGCTGTGACCTTTGACCTTGAGAATTATTCATGGCGGCTGAAATCCCCAAAGACCACAGAATGTCAATCAAATGACATCGAAGCCTACAGTCGTGTTTTTCTGTATGCCTTGTATTAAAATATATATACAACAACACAGATTTATATTTTTGTAGCACACTAGATAGATTGGTCAAAGTATATATATATATATGTAAGCTAAATTTCACAACCATTTTAGAAGTGGTTGAAGCGTTTCATTTATCGTCGGTCTTAAAGAACACCTCTGTTCCTAGATTTTTTTTCTTTTTACTGAAATGAAAAATGAATTAGTCCGGGAAGTTTGAATAGTCTAAAAGGAACAATTAAAACGTCTGCTATGGAAGGAAAGTAATGGAAGAAAAGACACAATTTTAACTCACGGAGGGTGTTTTAAAAGAAAACCAAACAGTCAAAAAAAGTATCAAATTGTATTGCTTTTCAACATTGATATCATTGATATCTTTCAGCAGCTTCCTGTTAACCTTCCCTTCATTGGGAAACACTAGAAAGAAACACAAAAATAAGTACTACTGAACAAATGATGCACACATTTGACTCGAGTCAAAGTAGCAATACCTCCTTACCCGAAATAGATATTGAAAAGAAAACTATAAACAATATTCTTTGCTTTGAATCTGTAACAAGTAAAAGCCGAAGTCAATCTGGTCAAGTTGGTAAAAATTTTGCAACACTTTGAAATTTTGTCTCCTGACTTTTATTTACGTTAACGGTTCTGATGATATGTCTATGAAAGTTACTATTCGGTGACTATTCGCATGATCCGTTTCTGAAAAATACGCCACAAATGTTTATGAAGAAAGTTTAAACCGTAATTTCGGAGAAATCGGACCTACTCAAATTTTTGTTGGTACAACTCCGGTCTTTGTCAATGAATGAAATTAGCTTCTATGGATATATCATTCCATGACAAAGACTGGAGTTGACCAGTCAAATATTTGAGTAAGTCCAATTCCTTGCTTTGTAAATTACAGTTTAAACTTTCTTCTTAATGGGTTCAACCGACACAGATGGACTTTCAAGACAAGACCATGTTTCTTTGAATGCAAAGAATCCAAGAAAAGGTTTTGTTACGGCTGAGGCAACTTCATGTGATGAGGATTTTTAAAACTTATGCCTCGAGGTTTCTTTCGCTATACAGATCATTCAATTCATAGTAACATTAGGAAATAAGTTGAAAAGTATGAAATAATTACAATCAGTTTCTTCCACTTCTGTAAGATACCTTAGGTACGTGTAAAAACGGATTCTAGACTACAATAATATTTGCGATCACAATGTTGATGGCGTATTTTTAACAAGACTGTCGAAAGCACATCAGATGGAGAAAAGCAGAATTTTTTGATAGAAAAAGCAAAGCTAATATGAAATAACTCTAGCTTAGACAGAAGGATGGCTAGCACTGTGAAGTAGAAAACACACAAAAAAAACATTGTTTCTGTGTCGTATGATTTTGATGATTTAGACAATTTAGAAAAGAAGAAGCATATATGTCTAACATTCTGTTACTATCCCTATAAAGTAAAGCTAATAGTATCAAATGATTCTAGCTTACACAGAAGGGTGGCTAGCACTGTGAAGAAGAAAATACACGAAAAGCACCCTTGTTTCTGCGTTGTATGATGTTGATGATTTAAACAATTTATAAAAGGAGAAAAATTTATTTCTGACATTCTGGTACTATCACAATACACAACACATAAATGGTGAGCTACAACAAGTGAGGGTTTCTTATGGTGTAGATGTATCGTTTGATTGCTTTCTATATTGTTCATTTTCGCTTTTCTTTGTTTCATGAATGTTTTGAAATACAGCGGCAGATATGTCTCGATTTTCCCATGGAATTCAGTTTTTAGAATATCTCCATACTATAATATCGAATGGTTAAATGTGTACAGAGTTTCCAGGCCCACTAGATGATACGTACATGAGGCACACCGTGTCTGAATTTTAGTATATTTCGTAAGAAAGGAGTAAATTAATCAAAACAGAAGTTTCCTAGTTGAGGTAGACCGTGAGATAGAACGTGAGCTAAAATTCAGTTTTTTCTTACTAGAACATGTTTGTTAACAGAAATAAAGAATCTTATATCAGCACTTTAGTAAAAACCTATCAGCGTTCTCATCAAATCGTCCTTACTACACAGTTACAGTGTTTCTTTCTGCTGTCTTTCTTTATACAGTACTATTTCGAAAAAAAAACAAACTTTCATTCACCTA